TTAGGGCTCCTCTTTTCTTTTACACTAGGAAAACCTGTCATCTTCCCTTCCTTCCTCTGGCTGCTGAGGTCAAGATGGGGACAGGCAGTCCTGGCATCTGCAGAGCCTGAGCAAACTGGGCTCTGCTCAGCTCCAGTCTCTGTGTCCAAGAGGCACCATCAGAGGGACCAGGGAGATGGTTCAAACCCAGGTGAGCAGGGCAGGAGGAGAGCTGCCATGGGAAACAGTTCAACAGCAACCATACAGTGTGTTTCTGTACCCAACCATCTGATGTTCCCCATATGCCTACACCTTCAGAGCCTGCTGGAGTCAATAAAACAACTGAGGAATTACCCTACATTGCCAAGACCCCACACTGCTCTGGGAAGGCCTGGCTCTGAGGGCAGAGGAAAGAGATAGATTGGTTGTCTCAGTCTGCCTCACAAACCTGGTGGATATTCCTCTCCCCAGGATACCTACTTAAACATCCCATTTGAAATGTGTGAGTCAGCTCACCTAAATACCACTCCCAACACATCCCTGCCAGGCTTTCTGGCTTGCATTGTGTTTCAAAGATCAATAAGTTAACAAACCTCTTCAGAACCCTTTGCTGAGCTGCACTGAACCCAGATAAGTGATCCTCCCAGATAAGAACTCAACTAGAGGGATAAAACCAGTACTGGTCTCCTGGTGTTGCACCAGTTTACCTTCAGAGAGACCTGAGCCTTCCACTCTTGGCAGCTGGATATTTCCTCTGCAAACAAATATTTTGCAACAGTTTGTGCTTCTGCTGCCAGGCATTTTTTACTCTCAGAATTAATGATTAACAATTAAATTATTTAACAAGGGAATAGTGGCCCAGTGCTAATTAAATTCCATCATCTCTTCTCTTTGCAAAGGAAAAAATAAATGGATATTTCTCAGTATCAGCATTCAGCCAGAACAGGGCAGTCTGTGATGTTGGACTTAATTAGATGGACAACCATGGGCACAGCCAAAAAAAAAGAAAAGAGCACGATAATATTGCACAAGGATCACACAGATGGGGGGAGAAGGAGAAAACAGCCAACTGGGGAGCTGGAAACCAAGCAAACTGACATGCCAGACTGCAGAAAAGCCACTTTCTAAACTAAACAACTTCTTATAAGAATATATTATCTGCTTAGCTGAAACAAAATCATGCAGACAGAGCAAAAAATGCCTGCATAAGCTGGGAGAAACCACTAACAGTTCTCCTGCAAGGCTCAACTGCTCCATTTTAAGGAAGGCTTTTCTTAGGTGTCTTGAGCAGCCACCTACACTGTTCATCCCCACCAGCTTTCACCTTCACATCCCTTCTGATGGGCTGGACCTCCTAGGGGCTTGGTGGAGTCTGCTTACATGCCAGTGTTAATATCACAGAAGATTAAGCTAGTTCATCTACCCTTGGAAGAGATCCTTTCCATTGCTGTTGCTGTGATCATTGCCTGACTGCACTTTCTCAGCCAGATCCACTAGGGATTACACCAGTGTAAATAAGATAAGCTGCTGTCTGCCTGCTATTAAAATGCACCAAGACACACTCAGCTCAGACAACTTGCACCAATGCAAACTTACATCCTCAAGGTTTTTTTGATACATGTTTTGTCTCTTTGTTTATTTGAAGAATAAATTTTGTCCCCAAACACCACAACAATCCACCTTGTTTTTTCAGTTCTTTTCTATCATCAATAATTTTCAAATCACTTGGGAATTTTCTTCTCCACATCTCTGCTGGGCCAGGAGATGAAAGTCCTAGGGGACTTTCAAGGGTGATTCTGTAAGAACTAAGGGATGGAGAAACCCCAGCAAACTCCCAGAGCAGCACACAGCTCTGGCTGAGGCAAACCCTGCAGAGAGCAGAAGCTGATCACTTTATTGGATGCTGTCTGAGCTAAACTGCCATGGCAAAGCTCAATTGTCACAGACAGAGGAAAAATTTCAGGGTTGTGTTCAATGCAATCTGTCCCTTAAAAACACCAGGCTGGGGGCAGCCTCTCTGTAACTTCCAGTGTTATTTTCTACTATTACTTCTGAGCTAGAGATTGGACACATCTGCCTACTGCTGGCAAGGCTTTGGGGCTCCCTCATCCCCTGCTTTCTTGTCTTTGCTTGTTAAAATCTAGAGGGAAAGTTGCTACCAGACAGCTTTAGGAAAATGTTTAGTAGACAAATAAAACCTGGAAGAAATTCTGAACTCATTGTTCTGAACTCAGGTAGCAGCAAAGAGCACCCTAAAAGTGCTTCTATATCACACACCAGGAGGCATAGAATCATGTTTGACAGCTTCAGAACCTAGAAGTGCTCACAGAAACTCACAGAGATGGGCATAAAGCTGCAGAAAGCAGTAGGGCTGTGAGAGGATGGTCCTCTCCCAGATAACTGTGGGAATTATTTGTCTTATATGCTCCTGTGCAGGAACTGAGCCCATGAAACCCATTTAGTCACAATTTTGAAGCAAAAAGAGTCAAGAAATGGAACCCAGGAAATATGAGCAAATGTGCATTGGAAGGGAACAAACTCAGCACAGGCTTCAGCAATGAATCTACAGGAAAGCTAAACACTGATTTCTGTGGTTTTCCACCTCATTTTTTAAAAAACTAACGCCAGGGGAATTACAGTTTCTAATTACCTTTTTGCACTGAAAGCTTATTAAATTTGTGCTGCTTCTTCCCCCCTCCCCAGCCCCCCACTTTTCCACTTCTAGATATTTCCTGCAGTCAACAGTTAATGACCAGAAATCAGGGTATTGCACTAACTGGCATCTGGCTGATGAAGTGGCAGGAGACTTTGGTTCCCGAATCATTTGCTGCTTAATTGAAATCTTCTCTCTAGCCTCATGGCTGTGCAGACACTTTTGGAATGCAGTTGAGCCCAGTATTAACCATCCTCTCACTCTCAGCCTTCTTCCTTTGAATTTGCAAATCAATTGCTGATTTCCTTTTTGTAAGAAGGAAAAACACCACAACAAATCAATAACAAACAAACCCACCACCTATTCCCCAACCCCACTTACTCCTGAAACAGTGGTTTGGCTTTGCAGAGTTTCTTAGAGCAGAGACAGGGACAGGACAAGACACATGGCTCCAGTAAAAGCTAAACCCACTCCTTGCCACATCACCTCCAGGTCAGGTCCAGTGCAGCAGTGGATTGGGGATGTATAAACAGTGAATGAAAACCTTGGTTTAGACTCTCACTGGAAGTGATCTGGAATTTCTCTTTTCCTTGTTACTGAAATGTAGCAAATTTTAACAGTCAAAAAACTGGCAGAGAACTCCCTGCAGCTTGCAAAAGAAGCCAGACTGCAGTTGTCTGTTTGCAGGACTCAAAGCCAAGGCTTGAGAAGCTTTGATAAGCCCTGATAAAACTAGGAGGGAGCTGATGCAACACAGGTTACTACAGACTCCTGATTTTGAAATTATGGCACCCAAGCCCTTTTGAATCCCATCTAAGTCCCAGAGAACTTGGTACTTCAAAATGCTCTTGTCAAGACCTTGTCTAGATAATGTTTGTCTTTGGAGCCTCAGCTCAGACTTGCATGTCCCAACAGCCCTTTGAGGGCAGGGTCACATTAATATCATGCATAGTAACTATCCCTAAATTATTATTGATAGGTCTTGTGCCAGTACTTAACACTACCCTTCTGAAAGAAGGCTCTCTTGAGACAAGAAACAAAACTTCACAGCATGAGGACCTCATCCTGGAAGAGGACTCCATGCTGTCATTTGTCAGGACACACTGAGCTTAAAAATCTGGTGCCTGCTGTAAACAGGCTCAGGCCTCTCAGTTCAGCCACAGTAGCTGCTCACAGTTCCCACACAGCCTTTGTACTTCAGCCAATTCAGGAGGTTTGCAAAAGGTGAAGTAATGAACCATACTTCCTCCTAAACTGTTTTATTTGTCTTTTACACATTTGCATTACAACATGCCTGGAGGCTCCAACCACCATCAGGAGGCTGAACCCACAAGCAGAGACAGCTCTTGCCCCAAGCACATTGCAAGTCATCTGGGGGGTTGTTTTGGGGGTTGTTGGTTTTGGGGTTTTTTTGTAATCTCAGCTATTTTACATCATATTTTTAGTCTGGGAACAGATCTATGTTTGAATAAAAGATACATAACCACAGGGAAGGAACTGAATAGTGTCTATTCCTGTCTTGGAAAGAAAAACTTCCAGCAAAGTTGAGAACAAGCACCAAGTAACACTGGGAGTCACTTGCTTGTATGTAGATGGCAACAACAGAGACTTCTTAAGCCAAAATCATCACCCAGCAGATCTTGTGGACAGCTATAGAGTCAAAAGGCATATTGCCAGCCTTAGATTGTCATCTTCTACAGATAAACTGGCAATTTCATTCTTTCTGCCCAGAAGCCATACAGGTGCCCAAAAGATTTCCTTTCCTTTCACCCTCAGCCTAACATATCATTTCTGGATCACACTCCAGACACATCCCAGCCCAGAGATCATGTTGTTGTATTGAACTCAACCCCCTGCATTGCAGGTACCAGCAGCTAATGCTGGCCCAACCAGGAAGCAGGAATCCATATTCCATCCCTCCAGTCCCAAAAGCAGGAGCTATGCAACCACCTGACACTCATTTCAGCCTCCAGTTCCAAATTGCTCTTATCCTACCCTTTGGAAAATTAGATTGTCAGGGTACCAAATATGCTCCTTACTATTTGCCATGTAATTAAGCAGTAATTTCTGCCCAAGGCTAATCTCAGAGTGGATTTTTCCTGTGGAGCTCAGTGCCAGAGTTCCCATTTGTCATTCAGTGGCACACCAAGCAGCAAGACCTAAACTCACAAAAGGATTTTCTCCACTCATCATCTCTCTTCTACTTTGGTGGCAGCTGGGATTCTGTATTTAGAGATGTTTGTGCTGGGCAAACAAGTTAGCAGAGAGCAGCCTCATTAGGAATTCACATGGGTACCCACCCCAGCACACAGTGGGAATGAGGTGCTGACTGCTCTGTTTCTGGACCCCAAATACTCCCCAGAATGGGATGTACACTAAAACCTCCTCTTTCTTTCTCCTCAGCTTGGCAGCCTCCAAAGAAGCTGAAGCAGCAGCACGATCTGCCCCCAAACCCATGTCTCCTTCTGATTTCTTGGATAAGTTGATGGGGCGAACGTCAGGATACGATGCCAGGATCAGGCCAAATTTTAAAGGTATGCAGGACTCCTGCTTGTGTGGGTTTGTTTCTTTTGGGGATTGAAAACTCATTAACTGTGTATGGAATAAGAATAATCATTATATTAATATGAAATATGTATGATAATGAGATATTTGGCACATGGATGCTTTGTAGATGTCTAGAAAGGCATCCAACTTCCACTCAGAATGCAGACCATCTTGTAACAACTTGACATGCAGGAAACACTTCAATACAGGGATCAGGGATCCTGCCAAACCGAACTGTGACCAACAGGGACAGATTACAAGAAAAACTTCAACTTTTCCTCTAGGTCACAGCTCACAGCACCTTCTAAGAGCAGGTAAAGCCAAGAAAAGTTCCTCCCATCAAGCTCCAGGAGCAAGATGCCATGAGCAGCTCTGAGCCATCACTGTCTCCCACAGAAGAGTGTTTTCTTTTTAACCAATCTCACTATTACAGAGATAGACCCTTGACTCACAACCAGAGATAGCAGGACCTGCCCCTCTCAGCCACTGTCCAGCCCTCTTCAGTGCTCATTTCATTCACTTGTTTCCTACCACCAATTTCTCCTCATCCTAAGATTCAACTGGCAATGCTAACACAGGGTTACCATGATCTGTTAATAATGATGACAGCATCTGCCACACAGCATCAAGAAATGAGCTCCATTTGAGGCTTTTAACCTGGAGATAGGTGGGAAAGTGATATCCTAGTAACCAACCAGACAATAGAAAACACTGCTGGCTTAATCCAAATCACAAAGAGTTAAGAATCCACCCTCTAAACCTGCCTACACTAAACGATGCACGCACACAAAAGAAATTAAACTTTAATATTTAATGAAATGTATATAATATCTTCCTGCTGAAGGCAGCTGTATTGCACTTTTATTTGAGTTAATATAATTTCAATTTCAATGAACTACACCTTCCCCACAGGGTATTTTTGCTGGCTTAGCCTCCCACACATAAATCAGGGTCCAATTTATAGGGGAGGCACAAGAGGTGTTTTACAGAGCTTGGGGTTGTAGCTCTCAAAGCTTGTCATGTAAATTAACTGCTGTAACTCATAAGGGTGTTTTAATGGCTCAGATCCAAACTAAAATAATTCCAAAGATCCGTATCAGATTGATTTTTTCAGGAGGGGAAGATTAACAAAAATAAGACCACAGCTTTTCCCTAAATGCTGAGAAGTCTAGACTTAGCTGGGGATTCACATCCTGAGAACATGGAAGAAGCATCTGGGCTTTGCTTTCAGTTGGAGGATGATGTCAGTAACCCAGGCAGGGATAAGAGCTGGACCCAGCAGGTGTGGGACAGGGGACCTCTAACCCAAGCTGTACCCTTAACCTTGCTTCTAGGAATCTGTGTTCCCACTGCAAAAGTGGTACTTTTCAGCGGCCAGCAGGGAAGATTCTAGAGTCTTACACATGCTAAAAACAACCAAACAAAACACCCTGCAAAGTGCTCACAGCTCCCCTTGGACACAGCAGGGAGAGCAGGGTGCCTCAACAAGAGCTGAGCTTTCCCAAGGACAGTTCCCTTCATGGGTACTGGACCAAGCTCATCCCATACTCAGCTTCCCTAGGTCACATCAGCACAGGAACAGAAAGACCAGGGCCAGAACCTCCATGCATGAGCACCTGCAGTCACCCAGGAAGTCAGCTCAGGATTTTTCTCACACATGGACTTCCTATATAGTTCATGAGATGGATCCAGAGAAGAAAACTGTTACTCCTGAGCTCAACAGGAGCATTACAGAGAGATAAAACAAGTGCTAAAGCTTGATGGTAAAATGTGGTTTCAGCTGCTGGTTAAATTCTACAAGCCTGTTGGATAAGAGGGTTTCATGAAGAGAGGAAAAAAAATACACCATTTTGTACCTGATATACCTGACCATACTGTGGCTGGAAAGACAGCTGCACAGATGTGAGCTGCTGTTGCACTGGCAAAAGGCTGTCTGGGAGCTGGTTAGACAGCAGCCTGCTTGGACTGCCTGGCACTCACACCCAGAGAATCCCAGCCATAGGCAGCATTGCTGCTACGTGGCTGCAAACCTACTCCCACAAAGGCCAGGCACCAAGTTTCTGAAGAGGCTGAAGTAAGAGAGAAGGAAAGTGAAATGAAGAGGAGCAACCCCAGCTCCAATTACTACTTAGTAACCAGGAAATTCCATTCATTTCTACAGAAGAGGAAGTTTGCACTGATTAGAGGCACAAGTCACTTGTTAGAGGCACAAGTCACTTGGTAAAGCCAACCCTCCAAGTATTTCATCTTGCAGCAGCTGCCAGACTGCAGATGTGGCCTTAACAGACAAGTGTCACTCTCTGAGCAAGGCTGAGCCATCAGACAGTGTTTGAAATTCAGACACCATCCTCATCTCCATAAAGGATGGAAGAATAATCTAAAAATCCACACTTCTCTTCCACAGATCTTATCTTCCCAAAAGCATCTGTCACAGGGATGATGTGAGATTAGTTCTCTGGTGTTAAAATGACCCCTCTGTTCCTGGGGAGGTTCCTCTACTCTCTGCCCATGCTGCCTTTACCCACCACTAACTGAGCAGCACCACTAGCAGGTCCTTTAGGAGCCCCCAGGGCTGTTTTGCTTCTCCCCTCCCCTTGTCACAGCTCTGCAACAACCCCCTCACTGTACATGAACAAGCCACTGGTTTGCCAGGCACCAGATGTGGCTCTGGTTCCAAAATGCTCTCTGAATTTTTGCACTGTGCTGAACTGCAGCTCTTGGCACTGAGGGGGATGCCAGTGCCCCTTTTCCACCTCAGATTTTCCAGACAATATCGTGAACCGCTTCCAGTCACACCGATACCCTTGGGCACCAGCACCACATGGACAGACTGACCCCCATGCCCTCTAATCACCATCTTTGCATCCCTTAACCTCCATTTTGGTCACTTCTTAACTTTTCTAACCTAAGCAGGCTGAGCAAAGCTTCAGTCTGAAAGCAAATAAAGCCCAGCAGAGGCATGGCCCAAAATCTGGGTACCCCCTCTCCCAAAACAGGACAGAAAACTTCTGCTGGCAGAGCCCTGAGGTCTCCCATCCAGCTGGCAAGCTGTGCAGACACCACATTGTCACACAGGGACTTGCTCCTTTGCCCAGCATGATCCCCACAGCACCCTCTGCTGCACTGGCTCCGTAGGGAGTATGTGGTCCTAGGTCAGAAGCATTTAGATGCTTTAAATGAGCATTTTTAAAGTGTATATATATAGGCGTTAATGCTACAGAGTGGAAATCCTTTGTCTTATAAGCACACAATGAACTGCTGTTCCAATCTGTATTTGTCATGCAGGCCCACCAGTGAATGTCAGCTGCAACATTTTCATCAACAGTTTTGGTTCGATTGCAGAAACAACCATGGTAAGTACAAAGCCCAGCACAGCTGCTCAGCCTCACACTCTCAGCAAATGAAGCATCACACTCCTCTGTAATGTAAGGAGGGGAAAGCAATGTGTTCCCAAGTTTTAGCTCAAGTCTGAATAAATTCATGGTCAACACACGACACGTAGTTGAAGATCAGAGTCTCCACAGGGTCAGAAAAGGAAACAAAAAGGAAACAAACAGTTCTTTCTGAAGACTTGCCCAAGGCTCCAAGCTCAGAGACAGTTGCAGATACTTTGTGTTGAACTGCATATAAATCCAGAAATTTGAATCACTGCTTTAAAGTGAAGGGAAAAGAGCTGAACTCAAATTCAGTCTGCACCAGATGTCAAATTCCTAAAGACTGACAGAACTGCCAGATTATTCTTTTCATGGAGTCATTTCTGTTAGACAATGATTTTTCTTAAAAAAATCAAAACCACTATTTGCAAGCTAAGGTTCACTTCAGATAAAATTACTGAGCATGGCTAAAACCTGTACCTACTTGGCAAGATAGTAGGAGCAAAGAATCACTAGAACAGGAGATAATTGCTCCACCTAAGAACAATTAAAGATTAGTTGTGACATAATCAGTGAACAGCAAAGGAAAGCTCTGGAGCTACAGCACCTGACCTCTGTGCTAATTACAGCTGATCCAGAAATATGATGTTTAATTACTATTTGGTAGGTTTCTTTTTCTAGAAAGATGTTGAATGAAGAATGCAAGACTCCAGTTTCAGGAGTTCTGTGCATTCAGGCAGGATGTTATGGGCTTTACATCTAGATCACACCCTGTGACTTGAGCAAGTCACTTGGCACGCACAGCACTGCCAGAGCACATCAAGAGCTGTTACACCTGGGCCTGCAAGTCTCCTCTGACACTGCATGATTCTTCTGGAAGTGTTTGGGGCTCGGGGCAGTTCAGTTCCAGCAGGAGAAAAAAATAAAAATGGCTGTTACTGTACAAGCACAAAGGAAGACATTTCACAACTGGATTGCAGAATTTGTCAGAGTTCAGAGATGAGAAGTATATTTACAGATTCATTTGTATGTAAAGCAAACCAGAAAGAACTAGAACCAAAATACACGTGTTCCTCATGTGCAATTTCATTGGATACTTCCTTTGGTGGTACAGGCACTAGCTACTCTGTTCCTACACAGTCTAGCAGAGACCATCCACAGCTTGCAAGGGAGAGGAGCAGGCCCACAAGGGATCCCTGTGCAGCTCACAGGGCACATCACAAATGACATGTTTTCCAGTATCTCTGTCCTATACTGCAAAATGCATCAGAGCAGCCATACAAAGATGTCACAGGATCCCAGTAAGCAGGATGCTCCATGAAATTAGCATAGACTGGCATGAGAGAGAAAGAGATATGCATTTCTCCTCCAAGACATGCTGCAGGGACTTGCTATTCTCTCCAGATACAACTCATCTCACAGTCTGTCTTCCATAGAAAAAATTCCCATGGGAACCCAAAAACCACCCTCTGGGCACATTGCTTTGTCTAGAAATACCCAAGCCAGCTCTGACAAGCTAGTCCAGATGTCAGGCTGACACAGCAGTGCACACAGCCTCATATGGTGCACAGCTTTGGGGACAGCCATTCTGCTTGTAAACTCTGACAAGAACACAAGCAGCACAGGTACTGAAGCACCTAAAAGCAAGACCCCAGCAAGTCAGAGCAGTCTCTGGGATTTGCTGCCTTGAGATTCACTCTGCAGAGAAGCCAGGCCCTACCCACTGCTTAAGGATGCAGTAGGACAAACAGGCAGTGTCATCTCTCCACCACAGCTTCTGGGAAGGGCAGAAGACCCTGTCATGAAGGGATTTTGAGACAGACCTGACTACTTTGAATTTGAACCAGTGATCAAGTATCTGCGGGAGCAAAAACACTTGGGTGGTAGAGAGGCAATTCAGTGTTTCACCATGAAGCAAGCAGTGCTCCATCACTGATGGTGGTAACACTCCCCCAGCTGCATGACTGGCCAAAAGAGAAAGAACAACACTATGGTTTAAACCTCAATTAGGCACTCTAAGCCTGGGTAGGCCCAGGTTCCAAGTACTACATCAACTTTTACTTCGATCCTATTGCACTGCTACCTGCAGGAAAAGTTGTTATGGATACCAGACATATAATTACTGAAGCATTTAAAACATTTTCAGTGTTGGTTCCTACAGAAAATACCACTGTTGCCCTTTAACTTCATACTGCCTGAAGCTCACAAATCAGCATAAATCATGAGGTCACTATGCAGAGGATTAGAGAGATTAGAGGTAAATTCTCACTTACAGTCCAAGGCATTGTGGAAGTTAGAGGAGGAGAAAATGCAGGAAAACAGAACAAAACAGACATTTGATGCAGCCACTTAGGTCTACAAATCACAGAAAGGAGGACAGTGATTTGAGGGTGAGAGAAGGCACAGGCTTTCCAGAGCAGGCAGAAAGCTGATACCTGCCCCACAAAGGTTCAAAATGGACAAGAATGGAAACCTGAAAAGCTATGGCAAGGCTAAAGGAAAAAAACAACAGTCATCCACCAATCTGAATTCTCCAAAGCAGATCTTACTTAGAGCAAGGGAAGTAAACTCCTTTAAGCATCCTGTAGAACCAGAGACCAAATATAAAAGCCTCTAGTAGTGCACATAATTGATTGGATATTTATGTTAGTTTGTGGCTTATAGCTTTTATTCACCAACCTCACTTGCAAACAGCTCTTAGAACAAGGGAACCTGTGACTGGGGCCACAACCCTGTGAAGCAACAAGGGCTTCAAGGGGAAAGAGGCAACCAACTACAACAGCCAGTGCAGACAACCTCCTTCTGTCCCAAAGCATTACTGCAACAAGGCATCCAGCACCAAGGCATTCCAGGGGACAAAAGCAAGATGCATCCTCCCTAACTATACATCTTTTTAAAAACCACCAGACAAGTCCCAACACAAGCTGCTAAATCCCTTTTTGCTCTTCAGATACATAAACACCTTCCCCCCAGCTGTAACAGAGTAGGAAACAGAGCAAAGCTACACAGTCTTCATGCAAAATGAAATAGAAGCCAAGTGTCTAGGGAACAGGGTCTTGGTTTTAAGTGAATAAACTACACCAGCTATGGCTTTTCTTTGTAGCATAAGACAATTGCTAAGATTATCTGAGCATTTCATCTAACAAGTATCCTGCTATAAAATTGGAATTAAGCAATGCCCTTCATCTCTCTTCCAACAGAAGCTGCATTTTTAAGGATACATTGATTGCTTAAGCAGTTGGGAGCATTTTGCATCCAATGAAAACACATAGAGGAGGAGAAACCTATTTTTACATCATCACCTGAGGTTGCTAGGAGCTGGACTCTATGCTCAAGATTACACCTTCCAGTCTTATGCTTTAAAGAAGACCCACATGAAGCAAACAAGTGTTTAAAAGAAATAAAGACACAAAACAGCCAGCATAGACTTCCCTGTGTATATACATACACATTTCTTTCTGATTATTTAATGCCACCATTTTGCCATCTGAAGAGAGCAAAGCAAATGTTTCCCAGCCATCTCCAACACGGCCACAACTGGTCTCCCAGAGTCTCCTAAGGACAGGAGAAGCTCAAGGCTGCAACTCCCTGAATGTTAAATACTTGTTCAGAGACATCTGTGCATGAACTTTCCAACGAGGTCACAAACCACTCTGCAAAACAGGCCAAGCAATTTGCTCCAGCCTCAAAGGCCAGAGAGCAGCAGGTAGCAAACACAACTGCTTAAGTGAGTGGATCACATTTAATACTGGCCCCTGATTAAATGAGTAGGTCACATTTAATACTGGCCCCACTCATTCCCAGGTCAGCAAAAGATCTAGTTATCAACACACAAAGCCTGCAGTAAAGGTTAGGCTTTGAGCTCAATTTTCTGCAGTCAGTCATTCTTAAACCCAATCATCAGTCCCACAGAGATGATAAGCATGGAACAAGTCACAAAACGCAAAATGAAAAGGTTTTCACAACATCTCATACAGCCTGCTGCTGCTTCAGTGTTAGACCTCAGTGTTTTGGCCACTTCTGTGCTTGGAGTTTGCCTCTGCACTAAACAGAGGGGGCAATTTAAAAAAGAACACCAAAAAAACCAAAAACCAAAACCAAAGTATTAAATAGAACTAGGTAATTCAAATGCAAGGACACAAAAAGAAGCTACAGAAAAAAACCCTCTACTAAACCCCTAAGCCTTCAGTTCATACTTCTAGCTGCAACCCACCCCCAGCAGCTCCTTCCTCAGCCCAAAGGAATGTGCTTTCCCCTCCTTTGTAGGAAAATACAGCAAAAAAAATTGTTTTGGCTTCCAGCACAAAACAGCCCCACTCCCCCCCCCCAGCAACAATAAGCATTAGGATACTGTCCCTACCCATTCCTACCTTCCTCAAGGAGCAGCCTTTCTCCCCAGCAGCACCTCCAGCACAGCTGCCAGCCATGCTGCCTCCTCCCTGTGCCCCAGGTGTGGCTTTATACCAGGCTTCAAATTGGCTACTTGGCTACAGCTGTGGCAAAGTCACCAGCTCTCTTATTAACCCTTCCAAGCCACACTGCCTCCTCCCTCTGGCCCAGGTGTGGTTTTCACACCAGGCTTCAAAGTGGCTGCTTGGCGACAGCTGTGGCAAGGTCACCAGCTCTGCTCTCTTATTAACCTTTCCAAGGGCTGGTGTGTTGGTTTTTTTTGCAGTTAGTCAGTTTTATCTCTCCTTTGCAAGGCAAGTAGCCTTGAAAATGCTTGTTCATTCCCTTTCTAGAAAATAAACCCAATGCCAATAGAGCTGCTTGTGCTCTGCAGCCCAACAGAATCCCCTCCTGGGTGTCTACCCTGTTGTTTTTTTCCATCAGCAAAATTTAAATCTATCAAACTGAAGTCTCTCATCAAAACTTCCCAGTGCAGAAACTGGTCTGACAGAACCCCTGAGTCAGGGGCTGAAACCTATTGAGCTTCCTGACAGCCTCCATCCTTCTTCACAGCACCACCCCCCACCTGCCACCACTTTCATCAGCTCACCCAGCATCAGGTGCCAAGAGTGTGGTGTCTTGGGAAGCAAAGGTCTGAAAAGATCCTCCATTTCCTTGGCCCCTTGTGAAACCACTAAGCAGAATTCCATTTCAGCATTATCAAACTGAACTACTTTGGTCACTTCAGTTCTTTTCTTCCTGCCCTGTGTCATTTCCCCCTTGGGAGTAAAATGCCTTTGTGCCAAATTGCAAAGCTGAATGCCTTCACAGCTCTGTGTTGCTGCTCTGCACTCCCAAGCCAGCCAGAGAAACAGGCTGCACAAGGTAATCAATGTCTGGATGTGATGGGCAAACAAATGAGGAGCTCAAGTGATAAGAAGGACATGGAGAAAGATTATTTTTTTTTTTGCTGAGTTTGCAGCCCCAGTAAAACCTTTTTTTTTTTTCCCCCTTGAAATTCACATCAGAAACTAGGCCTTTCAGTCCATCATTTAGGAACAACTATGGACTTCCTGGTGATTCTAACTAAGACCTCATATAACAGCATCCAAGAGAAAATTATGTACCTCCAGATACTCAATAACTGAGTGTTGTTTGCCTCATCACCTCTCAGCTTGACTGCAATGCCTGGGCACAAAGCTTCACACACAGGATCCATCAGCTGGTACAGAACACTGTAACCCTAATCTGAGTCTTTGTCACAGCCACAGACATGCCCCATTTGCTCTCCCTGCCTTCTGCTGGCTCCTCAGGCTGTGTCGTGTCCAGACACTGTGCTTGTTTTTACATGAATGTTCAAAGAATCCTGGACACAAGGAATCTAAAAGGCTGCCCAGCACCTTCAGTACCACAGTGCAATGCAGCTGCCTGGTGTAAGGAAAGGGCATCTGGGAGGAAACAGCTCTTCCCAATGGCCAGGCCAGGACTGTGGGGTAAACCCATCGAGAAGGAAGGTCTTCCTAAACACACACACACAGAAAAAATACTGATGTCCTAAAATGACAAAGCCAGAGACTTGCAGTCAGTGCATGTATTCTTTTCCTTTGTCCTTTTCTTTTTTACATCACCACATAAATGCTCAGGTGTCTATATTCCAAAACGAGCAAAAAAAAAATCCACTGCAAATGCTTCTCTCCAAAGGAGGAGCACAAAGAATAGCACACATCAGAGTTAGTCACCACTCTGCTGAACATCCAGTGGAAGGAGGTAGAGTGGTCTCCCCCACCACACATCCATGACATGCTCCTGGACTGTTCCTACAAAGGGCATGAGCAGAGGATACTTGGTCTCTGGAGATGAGTTAGGAGGAGGCTTCTCACATTCATCTACTGTGAGAAGTTAATTTCCTTTGGCCCACAAGCATGTGATTAATATCCCTCATCAGGGTGACAAACCTGTGGCATTCATTCTGCCTATGGCCTCTTAGGTCTGCTGTGGTGGCAGCACAAACCACACGACACCTCCCTTCTCACCCTTTCCTTTTGGCAACTTCAGGAGCTGAAGCAGTGAATTGACTCCAGCAACAAAGCTTATCCCCAGCAGCACAGGCTGTTGTAGAGAGATTGGCTCCATTTGCTACCCCCCTCCCTCCAACCCTGCAGGCTGAGAACACTTCTGGGCAGCTACCCCTGAAGTTTCTTCCAAACATGAGTTCAATTTTTGTTGTACATGACATAACCCCCCAACCAGAGCCGACCTGTTAACATCCAGCTTATTTGTAGCTGAATAAGCAAAACAACCTTTTGCTTTCCACCTCTTAGGTCAGTGACATTGATTTCCCGTGACTGCAATGGCTGCAGATCTTTACACACAGAAAAGGAAGAACTGAAAATGTACAAGCTGCTCAGGGAGGTGCTGTGTGCCGTGGGAGGCAGAGCTTCTGGCTTGCTTTCCCTCTCCACATTTGCGTGACTGGCCAGTCCTGCACTAAGAGCCTGGTTCCCAGCTGCCCACAGCTATTGCTATTCACATTTTCTCAAGACACATTATCCAGAATGGACAGAGATTAATAATTAAGTCAGAGGGAGGCAACAGGAGTTGTGAAGGTGACTTTTGGAATATCAGCAGAAGGAGACAGTGTTGCAGCTCCTGTTCATGTTCAGAAGTCTGCTCCTTTTAGCATCAAGTCCCTGGTTCATTTGCTGTTGTCACAACCATTAATGTCATTAGCAGCTTCCCTGCTCCAAGGATGCAGGTGGCACTAAGTGGCCTGAAACAGATTCTAGACCATGGGCTTGGCTGTGAACTGCCCCATCCAAAAACACAAGGCACACAAGACACAATCCTCTCCCAAATGACTGGACTCCACAACAGTCATGTCCTCCTAGATAAGTAACTGTAAGTTCATGTCAAATGAGTATTTGAGGCAGCAGCATCAGAAAAACTGTCCTCCACATTTACCCTTCAACTCCAGAGCTTAATGTTCTCCACATGGAAAGACTAGACCTGATGGCAGAGCCAGAGAGGTCTCCTCAGAGATTTGCAATAGTCTCACTGAAAGAAAGGTCCTAGTGCCTGCAGCAGGTATTAAATAGCAGCAGGTGTGTCAGACACCCTCCATTAACTGTCTCTTAATAGAAGTCTTCAAAGTACATTAGTATTAGAAAGGCACCAAAGAAACCCTGAATCATGATAGCAACTATTAGTTTGGGCCAGGGCAATGAGACTGGTTAATTATATGCTGGTCTTCAGACACAATCTGCTTCTATACTTAGAAAATGTCAATTAATTTATGGACAAGGAGCTTTTATCCCTCTCCTGATGGCTGCCACATCCTCTCCCCATTTCAATTTGTTGGCTCACTCTCTTATGTGACATTCAGCAGAAAAGAGGCATGGAGATCACCCTGGGAAGCTATTGGTCAGACAGGGAGAGGAGAAACTGCCTTTAATTGTCCAGGGGAGTGTCTGAGCTTGACCTCAGCCTCTAGCCCTGGCCTGGGGAGCTCAGGGGAGCTGTAAGACACATGCTTACAAGGCAGAGACATTGCACAGTGCTAGGGGATTAGCTGCAATTAAAGAAGACTGACATTCTATAAAATCTGTAGCATTTCTGGTATTTTGACATTAGGAAGAGGAACCCAGAACACCCCCTTTAGGATTAAGAGAGCAGACCTCACGCACATCCCTTCTGTCTTCACATGCTGTCGCCAAGGGCAGCTGCTCCCATCTGTGAACCTGAGCTACCCCTGTATTAGTGGACACACAGGGAACATGCCTTCCCAGGCTCACTCTGCCTTTTCTTTTCACAAGCCTGGAGAAACCATATCTAGACACAGTGTGGGATGGCTCAAAAGAGAAAAGAAGTTGCTTTGACATCCTTTCCCCCTTAATCCTCCAAAATAGTCATCTTGCTGACACCAGCCTTGCAGCTCCTTCAACTTAACATCACTTCTCCAGCCCCAGGGCTCAGACCAGAGGTCTTGATTCTTCACCCCCAGCTGATGATTGCTGTGATGGAGGGATGCAAGGTCAGGCAGCTGCTCATGCTATGAGAGCTGTAAGCCACAGAGCTAAGAACAACAACAGCTCCTTGAGAAATAAAGCCAGGAGGGCTGGTCCATAGCTTGGGATGTGTTTTGGTTTTGAGAATGATTTTAGTACATGTTCCCCAGTTCTCAGCATTTCCAGCCTGCTCTGAGCACTAACTGCATCCCTCTGCTCCCTGCTTGCCCCGTGCAGGATTACAGGGTGAACATCTTCCTGCGGCAGCAGTGGAACGACCCCCGGCTGGCCTACAATGAATACCCTGATGACTCTCTAGACCTGGACCCCTCCATGCTGGACTCCATCTGGAAGCCTGACTTGTTCTTTGCTAATGAGAAAGGGGCCCATTTCCATGAGATTACCACAGACAACAAGCTTCTGAGGATCTCCAGAAATGGCAATGTCCTCTACAGCATCAGGTGAGGTGACTCAATGGGGAGAGCTCCTCCAGGGTGGGAGAGTCAGCCAGAGCTGAACTCACAGAATCACAGAATTATTGAGGATCAGCATTTTCAGCATTATCAAACCAAAGGACACAGGTCTAGCTAAATGAACCAACTCACTTCCTGTAAGCTTGGTGAACAAAATATTTTCAGCACAGATGATGGTAGAGGGCAGCACAGAGAAGCCATGGAAAATGCAGCCTGCACCTGGTGGAAAATGGAGCTTGAGAGACAAAACTAGAGGTCTCAGGTGG